GCTCAGGGTCATCAGATAATCCAAGGAGAATGAACTCCGTCACAGTGCTGCAGTTCTCCTCACCCATTGCCGGTATAACTCAGGTTTGGGGGAAAAAAGTAAGTTTTGTGTTTCTTCTAGGATGAGAAAAAGGGAGTATATAACTGGTTTATATTAACTTCAGAAAAATATAACATTGATATCAAACATAGAATATTTATGTGGTATAATAAAAATGTAATTGTCAAATAATTCAAAATGTTAAATATTTCAGTAGATGCTACTGATAAAAATTAATTTAAGCAATAACAGTAACCTTAATTGATTCCCAAATTTTATTTGCCACAACAGATGATTCATTTAGTTAATTGTTTCCATGGATTCTGAAATAAATTCAACGGTATATTTCAAAGCCATGTAGAAATTAACTCCTGTTTCCCGTAAAATTTAATAAGTTGTATGAAAGTAGGGTGACAGCTATTGCCATTCCACATAATATACACTATTATTTTTAGCTCAGTGTATCATTAACATTACTTTGCATCAATTGAGGTGCTCTGCAATTCCATTGTTGTGCAGTATGATAAATTTTTTCAGGATTAACAGCTCGGAAAGAGCCTTTAAATTTAGAAGTATTCAAAATGAAAAAAAAAAAGAATTAAAATGTGCTTTGAAATCCCTCACAATTTTTGCTTATAAAATTAACAAATTAATAATTTTAATGATAATGATCAATGTTAATGGCTTAAAGAGATGAATTCTTACACACGTTTTACTAGAAAGTAATTAGGTAACATGTATTTGAAGCTGTGATTCACACATATAAAAACCTAAGTCTTCCTTTCACTTATGAGACATTTTTTGCAATCTTTTATAAGAAATGTTTAATTATATTTTTAAAAAGATTAAAAAGAGCTACACTGCTGCACTTTTTATGATATCAACAACAAGAAAAAATGGCCCAGTCAAAAACAGAGGAAGTGCTAAACTATGGTGCATCATATCTCGGGTGGAAAATATCACTGTATTTGAAATTATGTTTTGGAGAAATCCAGCTTGAAAAAAGCATATGTATAGCAGATTGATTTTTATATGTAGATGTAAATAAGCATTTATATATAAAAGCATGTATATACATAGAGATAGAGGTATTATAGTATCATTTTAATTAAGTTTTAACCCTGAAAGAAAATACTTTATACACTTTAAAAAATAGCTAAGTGAAACTTTCTCAAGTTACCTCAAAAAGTAGGTTAGAGAAAGTGGTTAAATCAGGTATTTCATGTAAGAGGGAAATAAAGACAAGGAGTATGTGAATTGATGAATTTTACTCACTTCCCTTCTTAGACCACAGGAGGAGCATATACTTGTACATAACTTCATTAACCCGTTGTGATCAAAATTGAGTAAATAGACTAGAAACACAGCCTTGGACTTTCTCCGTATTTTGAAGTAATTTTAAAGGCTGAAAACAAATCATGATCCTGAAGTCATTGTTTTCTCATTTATCTAACCCACTGAAAACCCAGTCCCCAAAATTTTTGCCTGCTCCAGAAATAAAAGATGAAATGAGATGTGGAAAATTGTCTCCCTCGTGTTCTATGCTTATAACAGGAAACTGGTCTCTTATAAATTCATGGCAAATCCAGAAGAATTTATCTTCTTTCCTGAGCACAGATAGTTGTCATGTCCTGATACTCAACATCATCACCAGCTTGCAAGCATGTGATTAAACTCTCAGAATTACGATGACAATTAGGAAGTTCCACTGCAGCCTTCAATTCTACATTCTATGAAGGGAATTGGTATGATGAAAGCCCAGTCCGCAAAAGTGAGTTATTTTCCTGTTCCAGAGATAAAAGATGAAATGTGAGGTGGAAAATTGTCTCCCTTATGTTCTATGCTTATAACAGGAAACTGGTCTCTTATAAATTCATGGCAAATCCAGAAGAATTTATCTTCTTTCCTGAGCACAGATAGTTGTCATATCCTGATACTCAACATCATCACCAGCTTGCAAGCACGTGGTTAAAGTCTCAGAATTACAGTGACAATTAGGAAGTTCCACTGCAGCCTTCAATTCTACATTCTATGAAGGGAATTGGTATGAAAAAAGAGAGGAAACAGAGAGAGAGGAAATCTACCACTTTGTTTACTTTGCATTCTTTCGTACTCATCAGCGTTTGATGTTACAGAGAAAATAGTTCTAATTTTCAGCCAACTGCCCCCGAAAACTGTAAGGCAAAAGCATTATAAAGAGCAAATGAACATAATAGGGGTTCTAATAAGCATTTTCTAATTAGAAGAGAAATGAGTAAGACATTTTTGTTTTTAAATAATTTCATTGTCAGAAAATACATTCATCAATTTTCAAGTAATCAGAGTCTAGTTCTAGCTAACAAACCTGGGGAACAGACGTTTCCTTCTTGGTACTGAGGATGTTAGATGTGTATAGCACACAGTCAGACACTTATACTGCAATTGAAACTCCTGGGAAATGGGCCCCTAAGTGAATCAGCTATTAGTGTTGATGGTATAACAAAATAAAAATCATATTAAAATACATGTGATATAAGACACAACGTGTAATTAGTCTCTATGGAATAGCCTCAATTTTTTTTTAATTGCCCTAATTAGAAAAAAACAATTATTTAAAACCAAACATGCTTCCTTTCAAAGTTCATGGTCCATTATAAAATTCTACATGCTGGCATCAAATATGTGAGCCACAGCTTGTATTGCAGCTATGAAATAACAGGAATATTTATTGTAAACTTTTCCTTTCTCATAATAATTAAAATTACCCTTACTTTCTATAGGGCACAGTATCTAAAGCCACACAAGAATTCCTTAAATGTATTTTCAACTATCATGCACTGTATTTCTAAAAGTGATCTGCCGGAGAATGCACACTGGGTGAAGAGACATTATGGTTTTACTCTCTACTCAAACGTCCTTTTTATATCTTTCACAAAAGAAAAGAAAATCTCTCATTGACAAATATATGGTGAATTACCAGCATGAGCAAAAACCTGTGAGACAAATCAAAGGGATGACTTAGAAAATTGTTCTTAGGGTTTGCTTTTAGTTTTTAATTTCTCAGTGGAGGCACATTTTAAATTCATATGGCACGTTTTTCTGTCTTAAATTCATGGCACGTTTTTCTGTCTCTTTTCATATTGTTCATATTCATATTAGATCACATCTTCTCAATTAAAATCTCTATTAAAAGCTTTTGCTTATTTTTTTATACTATATTTGTCTTTCTGTTATTGTGTTGTAAGAGTTCTTTATATATTCTTGATAAAAATCTATCATCACTTCTGTAACTTTCTGATGCTTTTTGCTCCTAAGTTACTACATTCATTTTGAGTTAATGTTGTGTATGATGTGAAGTAAATATTTAAATTCATCTTTTTTGCGTACGAATACCCAATTAATTGTTACACTTCTCACTGTGTAACAGAGATGAAAAAAGGATTACTCAATGCACTGTGAATGCCATGAGAAGCCCGAAAGAATTGTCCCTCAGCGACTCCTCTGTTAGAAGGAGATAAATGGGAACAGCCATAATTCAGAGTCA